TTCCTCAATGGGGCTGAAAATGCCTGGTTAAAGGGGGAAAATAATATCACTACCGTTTACTTCCCTAAATTAAAAATGAATGTGGCTCTCTGCGGGATGCAGTTCACTGGGGAAAAAATCTCATGGGCCTCTTCAGGAGCTGGTCAGAGTGAACATTCTCAATAGAGAAAGAAAGAAAGAACAGATTCTGCAAAGGACGAATGATGTTGGGATGGAGCCCGCCTGCTCTCCACCCCGGCCACTGTTGCAAGAAGCTGCCTGCTTCTGTCAAAAGAAATAATGAGCATCTTGCTTTTTCAAGTTTTGGGTTTTTTTTTTTTCCCTTGCTATTATTGTTCTGTTTCTGTAATTCCCTTTCAGAGAAGGGTAGTTAGATAAATGCTGCTTTGGAGCCTGTTCCTGTGCAGCCCAAAGGCAGACATGAAGTGGATGACACTTGGCGCTTGCCGTGACGGTGTGTGTCGGTGTCACCGGCGCTACGGCAGTCTGTGCAGGGGGAGGCAGTCGCTGCTGGAAGGGGAATGGTGGTGTTTGCTGCTGTACGAGGATAAACCTCAATATTTTTATGGTTGCTTTGAAAGGAGGAAGTTAATGATGACCGGTGTTTTGATACTGGTTGACAGATAAGAGCAGAGGACTGAAATTCAGAGCTGCTGGATTCTGTTCATGGCTGTGGTACGAGTGTGGCTGAGGACTGTCGGACTCAACCATTGATTTGGGCTCTGCCTTTGATTCTTCTTGTGTCTCTGGACCACTTACGGTGGAGTTGCCAGAAGTGGCTGTGGATCCTGCCCTGTTAGATCTCCAGCTGGAGATATGCTGGAATTGCTCATTTTTTCCAGGGGTGCCCAGTCCCCACGGAGCAGAAAACGGTAGCTTTGCAGAACAGCTGGCTGGAGCCATCCCCAACAGGGGATGTTAAAAAAAGAAGCTAAATAAAGTCATTTTGGTCTTAACTTATTTGTGCACTCTTTCTAGCTACACATAAGTTCTGCAGCTTTCCGCAGGAAGATAAAGTCTTAAGGCATTGGTCAAACTTGTTGCTGGTGTAATTGCACCAAAGCCATAGATTTAACGCCTGTAGCTAATTTACTCCTTAGCACCAAAATGCCTTCAAAGCCCTGCAGATAAGCGTGAAACACCATCGTGACCAGAAACTTTGAAGCTGCGGTGCAGGCAGGATCTGGGGAGTCCTGTGCTGATTAAAACTTCCTTTTATTTTTTATTTATTTTTGTAATTGGGTTTTGTCAGGTGTGCGAGGAGCAGAAGTGCGAAGAAGAGGTCTTCCCCTTGGCCATGAATTACGTGGATCGCTACCTGTCGTTAGTCCCCATGCGGAAAAGTCACTTGCAGCTTCTGGGGGCGGTCTGCATGCTCCTGGCTTCCAAGTTGCGAGAAACCATGCCCCTGACCGTGGAGAAACTCTGCATTTACACAGACAATTCCATCACGCCTCGGCAGCTCCTGGTAACCACCCCTATCTCAAAGAGCCCTGCACCCCCTCGACAGCTCTCTTATCTCCTGCATCCTGCTACTTGGCAGCATACCTGCCTCTGTGTCTCCTCCTGCTCTCTTTCTCCCACTTCTTCACCTTCCTCTGTGTTCCCCACCCAACCTCCTCGCCCCGCTGGGTCCGATGTCTGCTGGAGGAGACCTCTCCATCCTGGGCAGACGCTCGCTCCCTGCTGTGGGAAGCAGCTTTGTCACCTCCAGGTTGTAGAGAAAGTTCCTTGTGCCTTAAGCGCTCGTTGCCAGTGGAGCTGCCATGCTGAGCTTGCTCCTGGGCACTGGTTTGCTCTCAAGTGACAGCTCTGGAGACCACAGGCATGAGGTGAGGGCTGCCGTCGAGGCGTGTGGCTCTGACTTGCCCCGGCTGCAAAGGGGCATGGCATGGGAGGTGCATTTCCACACCAGTAGGAAAAATGAAGCTTTAAGTGGAGAGTTAACCAGCAGAATGGGTGGGAGCTTTTCTGACCTGGGATCTGGCTGGCTGGGTCGTACGTGGAGGCTGACAGCGCTGCCAAGGGGATGATGGAAATGAGGGGGGACGTTGCTGCTGCCCAGGTCCTGCTTTGCGCCCTTGAGTTAAAGCAGGGCTACTTTGCCTCTCCCATCGTACCCTCGGGCAGAAGCTGTGTAGGCTTTGAAAGGCAAAGCGTTTTCTCGTCTGATAAAAGTTCAAAGCAAAGATCCAAACCTCCGAGTTCAACTTTGTCAATGGGGGAGGAAATTGGAGAACCCCTTTTCTTGGGGGCCTTCCGCGCTGGTAGATCAGAGCCCTCGGGAGGAAACGGCCACCTCGCTTCGAGTAACAAACATCCCTGGAGACGGTTTGTCTGCAACAATTTCTCAGGGTTAGTCATTGCCTTATTTAATATCTTTTTTATTTTTTTGGGGCTGGGGTGGGTGAGATGATGTGAATGTGATTTGTCCCCAGGGTGGGGAGTGAACCCACAAAACTTTCAGGTGTGAATCGGAAGGCAGTTCTGGTAACTGGGGAACTCTATTATGAATGTGTTTTTTCCAAGTGCCCATGAAGGCTGGGGAAAATCCCCTCACCTCCAAACCTCTCTCCCTGTAGCCGCTTGTGGGTGGCAGTTGCCTTAAGTAGCACTCACAGAGAAAGTACGTGGATCATTATTACCACGAGTAGTGGTGAGGGATGGGAACACCCAGAGGAAGCACAACTGCTCATTGCTGCTCTGGATGCTGAGCTGTGGTTGTGCTGCAGCATCCTGCTGCGGGGGGCTACCACAAAATCTGTGTGCAAAGGCTTTCTCCTGCTGTGTTGGTAAAGCTTCGTCCTCAAGAGCACCTTCTCATCCAGCGATGGATTCTGCGTGGGTATCTTCCCAGGACTGGGATCCATCACATGAAGCAAATCCCAGCCAGTCACAGAAGGGTTCCTGTTGGCCCTGTGATAATGAGGGGATTAACGTTTACCTGGAAAAAAAGGCAGAGGGGGAATGGGAGTTGGTTTGCATTCACTTTTCTGCTGGGCCAGCAAAAGTTGCCTCTGTTGCAGAGACAACAAGCTGAGCAGAAGGTGCTGAACAGTCACCTTGTAGGCAAGCGGGCTGCATTTCAAAGCAAGGATAGCGCTCTCCATGTTCTCAGGAGCGTGAAGCTGATGGAAATGTGTGTCGTGGCCCACTGTCAGATCTCTGTTCCCTTCAGAGTGATGGATAAGCTCCCTGTCCAGCAGGAAGGTGAACTTACTGCCATGGTGAACTTCGCCTCTATCCCCCTCCTGATTCAGACTTTAAAGGCAGTCCTGCTGTCATCATCCCTGCAGAGGAGGGGAGATGATCACAGCAAATTCTAGTGATTTCTGCAGCGTGGACCTTGGGCTACAAGGAGTTGGATTTGGTGAGCGCGTTGTGCGTATCTCCCGTGGATCCCAGTTGTATTTCATTCTGATTCATTTGTTGCTTTATTCTTGGTGAGGGTTCGCTTTTTTCAGTTGAATCTTGAGCTTTGTAGCAGGTTCCCTCCAAAGGAGAGCAGTTAGGAGATGTGCAGGTGGGTGGTGGGCAGAGCGTGTGCACCATCCCTGGAGGCTTTCCTTCGCTCACACTCTCAAATGCTAATGCCTCCTCACTTGGAGCCTTTTTTATTTCTTCCCCCCAGAGGTTTGTCAGCAGGACGC